CTTCTTCGACTACTCTGGCGAAACCAACGGGGCGACCTACCCGTTAAAACAAAATTTTTTGCCTGCCTACCGGTCTCGCGAGTTATTCTCGTGCCAACAAAACGTTTAATACGGGTCTTTCTTAAGCGTATAGTGGCGTCGTGTAGTTCGGAGTTCATAGTGGAGTTACGTTTTTTGTATAATCGTCGAATGCGCACCTTCGATCGCACTGCAAAACCGGGCTGCCAGCCTCATGTTCCTGGGTGTGGGTTAAGCGCGCAACTAGTTGTCACCGGCCATCGCGCGCATAACTCTCCTAACCAATAACACAAGCTCACTCCGTATAACCTTCTTATCCTCCCTAAACTCCACGTCTAAGTGACCGTGAAAAAATAAAATAAAATTTAACGCGATGTGAATGACAACTTGATAAATAAAATGCAACAACCACGCTCTCGCGCGCACTACCTTCGCACTCAACAAAAAGACCGGTTCCAATAACTCTCTCAACTGACGTTTAAATAATCTAAAAAATTTAGTTGACACCGATTTAGTTGTTTCAGACATACCGGGCACAGACTTCGGTTGTCTCTCTAAAAAGATTATCAGTCCCAAAAGTTACAGAAGGACTTACGATATGAAATTTCGATAAACACAAAATGAATTTTTTGTTTAACAATTATCAAATCGTCTTCGCAGATGGATGGCAGTACCGGATGGACTTAGAGACTTTAATGATATAAGGATTTATACGATAACGATGTGAAATACCCGTTTTTAACGTGAAAAGACAACCAGAACCAATTCTTGGAGGAACCTTTTTTTATTTGTTACAAAACAACGAATTCGCGAGCATACATAAGTCAGTAATAAGTCTACCGCATAGATTTTAGGTACACTTTTTTTTAACGAACGAGTTGACGAAGAGTCCCCGAGTCCTTGATAAATATACGGTAATTTTTACGGGCCTAATTAAATTAATGTTTCGACATTAATCTAACTCCTCAATTAAAAAAATTAGCTCAGGGCCCGGGCATTAATACCTTCCCTCCATGAAGACTCTACATTACCTCATCTCCGATAGTGCCATATTTATGTAATTCATATAAACTCGTTGAAATCAAAAATCAGGTCTCTATCTTTATCGACGGTATTCAACCTTTGGATCGAGTCCTTATCCCCAGTATCAATTAATTATTCCTCATTTGTAAACTTTTATAACCGGTTTATTCGCCACCACTATTTACCGAGTTTTCGTTTCCGACTATTGTTCACTGTGTTTTGTTTTTGTCTGAAGTAATGAACGTTAGTTGGTGCTTCAGTATAATCGGTACCCCTGAAACTCATCCAGTGAGAAACGTTCCGCGGTGCAAAAATAAGTGCGATTAAAATGCGTTAATTTTTTTAACGCGTTAATTTTTGTGTAATTAATTAATCTTAATTAACGCGTTAAAGTCCCGGCCCTAATTATAATACAGTTGCAGGAAATACAAATACTCAAGTAGAGTAATTGGAACATGTACTTGAGTAAATGTACTGCATTATTTTCCACAACCACTGTCCAGTCAGCCTAATGAAACCAGAGTGAACTGCTTAAGGGAACATCAATTCACTTAACCTGCTAAATGCATGTTTATTTTCCCTCCTTAACAATTATTTGAGCTAATTGAACCTAAATATATCCAGCAGTGTAGCCCTCAGGGGTTCACACACAATGTTCTATAAATAAGCTTTATGTTATTTTAAAATACAGTTAATTATGTTGCGATCCAACATGCACAGGCACTTGTTTGGAATATCTTTATATGCAATCTAATATTCTATAATATATCTTGCTCCCTGCTGGAGATGATAACTGTGATACTGCTCAGCTGCAGTAATCCTCATGAGGATGTGGAGCAGCTGATATGTTGTAAGCAGTGTACGGACTGTGTTCAGTCCAGTATGGCGAGCCTCTAAAAGGGCTGGAGTGCTAGGGGGCATACTTACCCTTGAGCTCCCGGAGGAGCAATGTTATTATTGGTAATAAGAAGCGATAAATAGTGTGAGGGAAGCGTATGCTTCCATAGAAGGTTCTCTTTAATGAGAGAAGGCACTTCTGAGAGCTGCTGGAGAGGAATTCATGTCCGTCTGTACCCCAGAAAACCAACTCACAGAAGCTACGTTTGTTAAGAAATGTTAGATTCGGACATTCTGCGGCACAAAAGAGCGTGGCATCTGCGCTTATGTCCATTTCAATAGTTTAATCTCTGAGGGAGGGCGGAGGAGCGGGGAGCGATGCTAAACTACTGTCAAGACAAATATTTCCAGCAGAGTCCCTTTGTATAATGGAAGGAAAAAAGGAGACATAAGCAGGCACTGAAAGTGTTTCTTCTGCCCCGTGCCCCTGGGCATCAGGCTTTCTCCTTTCCTTATCCAGCACAAAGAGTGCATTGTTAGCAGGGCCATTACAAGCAGTCTTGACTACACTGGACAACATATGACTCAAGGGAATAAGCTATAGATTGCAGGGATGGGAGAAATTGGAAAGTTCATCAGACCCATCTCATCTGACCTCAGTTGGTTCTGGGGAAGAATGC